TTGTTAATTTTTGCTCATGTCTTTTGCCCACTTTCTACTTGGATTCTATGGTTGTTGATTGTTTAGTTCTGAGAGTTATCTTTATTTTCTAGATGCCGGTCTTTTGTTGGATAAATGCTTTGCAAACTTTTCTCCAGTATGTAGCTTGTATTTTCATCCCCTTCATAGAGTTTTTCACAGAGAAAAGTTTTTGATTTGGATGAAGTCCAATTTATTCACTTTTTCTTTTGCAGATTGTGCTTTTGATGTCAAGTCAAAGAACTCTGCCTTGCCCTAGATCCAAAGATTTTCTCTTGTGATATTTCCTAAAAGTATATAGTTCTATATTTTACATTTAAGTCTGTGACTCATGTTGAGTTAATTTTTATATAAGGTGTGAAGTTTAGGTCAAGTTTCAGGTTTTTTTGTTTTTCTTTTTGTTTTTTTGCCTGTGGATGTCCAATTGCTCCAGCATCATTTGTTGAAAAGTCTATCTTTTCTCCATTAAATTGCTTTTGCACTTTTCTCAAAAATCACTTGAACATATTTGTGGGGGTCTATTTCTGGGTTCTATATTCTGTTCCATTGATATGTGTGTCCACACCTCTACCAATGCCACATTATCTTGGTTTCTGTAGCTATATAGCAAGGTTAACATCACATCAAGTGATTCTTTCTACTTTATTAATCTTTATCAAGTATGATTTAGCTATTCTAGGGCTTGTGTCTTCCCATATACATTTTATAATAAGTTTTTTTAAACCTACAAAGCTTTGCTGGGATTTTTATAGGAATTGCATTAAACTTGTAGATCAATTTGGGGAGAATTAATGTCTTTACTATGCTGAGTCTTCCAATTTACAGCACACATAAAATATACAATACACCAGAAATTACATCCTTTGCGAATTAAAAATACGAGAGGGCTGGTTTTGAAATTCTTTTAGGGAATGTGAGAGGAAAAAAGTAAAAAAAAAAAAAACGACCTCGAAATTCTGCTTTTGAAAAGTCTCTGCTGCTCTGATCTGCACCAAGCAATGCTCCCCCTAGAGAAAGCTGTGAAGTGCTTTACCATCCCACCCTGCTTGGTTCCCCGCAGCGCAAGGGGACTCCCATCTGGCCTCTCAATTGTTTTCTGTTCAGAATTCTCTGGGCAGCACCTGACATTAGGCTGGGCTAATGTTCTGTCCTTTGAGGGAAGGAGAACAGGCTTTCTCATTATCCCTGCTTGAGGTTTTTTAGTATTTTTTCTAGACATCCTAAGCACTGCAACTGTGTATCACCTACTGGAAAAGGGATACTGGGTTCGTGATGAGTTAAAGATTTAAATTGTCCTCAAGTCACTTACGGTCAATAGTAACGACAGGGCTTATTATTCCTTTTGAGTGAAGAACAATCTAACGCACAGTGTGGTTTAAGGTAATGCCTTGGAAATCGCAAAATATCTTCTTTTAAAAAATTATTTTATTGAGGTCACATTGGCTTATAACATTGTGTGCACATTATTATATTTCAGCTTCTGGATAGACTGCATCATGCTCACTACCAATAGTCTAGTTTTTATCTGTCACCATATATACGTGCCCCTTTCCCCCTTTCTCCCTCCCCCGACTCCCTTCCCCTTCCCCTGTGGTAATCGTCAATCTGTTCCCCTCATCTATGTGTTCGTTTGTTTATCTTCCACGTATGAGTGAAATCATATGGTATTTCTCTTTCTCTGTCTGACTTCATTCACTTAGCGTAATACTCTCATGGCCCATCCGTGTTGTCCCAAATGATACAATTTTGTCTTTTCTATGGCTGAGTAGTAGTCCATTGTGTATCTATATACCACATCTTCTTTCTCCACTCATCCATTGATGGGCACTTGGGTGAACAATGTCGCCATGAACATCGGGGTGCATATCTCTCTTTTTGAATTGATGATTTCAAGTTCCTTGGATAAACACCCACTAGCGGAATAGCTGGATCATATGGTATTTGCACTTTTTAATTTTTTGAGGAGTACCCATACTGTTTTCCACAGTGGCTGCACCAGTTTGCATTACCACCAGCAGGGTATGAGGGTTCCCTTTTCTCCAAATCCTCTCCAACACTTGTTATTTCTTGTCTTTTTAATAATAGCCATTCGGACAGGTATGAGGTGATATCTCATTGCAGTTTTGATTTGCATTTCCCTAATAATTAGTGATGTTGAACATCTTTTCATGTGCCTGTTGTCCGCCTGTATACCTTCTTTGGAAAACAGTCTCTTCATATCCTATGCCCATTTTTTGATCAGGTTGTTTGTTTCTTTGTCGTTGAGTTGTATGTGTTCTTTATATATTTTGTAAATTAACCCCTTGTCAGATATAGGGTTTGCAAATATTTTCTCCCAGTTGGTGGGTTGTCATTTCATTTTGTTGATGGTCTCTTTTGCCATGCAGAAGTCTTTTAGTTTGCTGTAGTCCCATTTGTTTATTTTTTTCTTTTATTTACCCTCCCTGAGTAGACATGGTATTCAAAAAGATACTTCTAAGACCAATGTCAAAGAGCACACTGCCTATGTTTTCTTCTAGGAGTTTTATGGTTTCAGGTCTTCAATTCAAGTCTTTAGTCCATTTTGAGTCAATTTTTGTGTATGGTGTATGATAATGGTCTCCTGTCATTCTTTTGGCTGCCCAGTTTTCCCAACACTGTTTATTGAAGAGCCTTTCCTTTCTCCACTGTATATTCTTGGCTTCTTTGCTGAAGAATGAGAAATCAAGAATACAATCCCAGGTTTCTGTCCGGTGGCCGAATGATTAAGTTCGCACACTCCACTCTGGTGGCCCAGGGTTCGCCCGTTCGGGTCCTGGGCATGGACCTACACACCTCTCCTCAAGCCACGCTGTAGTGATATCCCACATAGAAGGACTAGAATGACTTACAACTATGATATACAACTATGAACTGGGGCTTTGGGGAGAAAAAAAAAAGAGGAAGGGTGGCAGCAGATCTAGCTCAGGGACAATCTTCCTCACCAAAAAAGCATACCTTTAAAAAAAAATACATTCCCATTTACAATCACAAGAAAAAGAATAAAATAGCTAGGAATTAATGTAACCAAGGAGATGAAAGACCTATACACTGAAAACTATAAGACATTACGGAAAGAAATCAAAGAAGACATAAAGAAATGGAAAGACAATTCTGTACTTACTGATTGAAAGAATAAATAGAGTTAAAATGCTCATATTACCTAAAGTAATCTACAGATTCAATGCGATCCCAATCAGAATCCCAGAGACAGTTTTCATGGAGATAGAACAAAGAATCCTAAAATTTATGTGGGACAACAAAAGACCTCGAAAAGCCAAAGCAATCCTGAGAAAAAAGGATAAAGTTGGAGGTAGCACACTCCCTGGATTCAAAATATACCGCAAAGCTATAGTAATCAGAGCAGTGCGGCACTGGCAGAAAAACAGACACACAGATCAATGGAACAGACTCGAGAGCCCAGAAATAAACCCACATATCTATGGACAGCTAATCTCTCACAAAGTATATTTAAGATCTAGAAACTGGGAAGAACCCCAGATCTCCTGACCCTCAATGCTGATAACTTACAGTCAGTGATAATCATTCTAAGCATCCAAAGCATCCATTTTTCAACACCGCCAAGTGTTCTGCTAAGCCTTAGATATGTGTTATCCAGATGAAACCCCATCAACACCCTTATGAGGTCACATCAATTGCCATTCTCATTTCAAAGATGGATAATGAAATCTTGGAAGAGTTAATGTACCTGGCCAAGGTCGTGTAGCTACTAAGTGGTAAAGCCATAAACCCTGGGATCTAATCTTAAGATATCTGATGCCATTATCCCATCTACCCAAAGACGACATTGTACCGCAAAAATTAAAACAGTCATGGCCGGTCTACTTCTTTACCTGCAATTAGAACATAAGAAAGAAACCTTTCTGAAAGAAAACAGAAAAACAAAACGAAAAAACTAAAGCAAAGCACATAAACCAAAAACTATGATCACATGCTGAGTGCCATGAAGACAAGTAAGACTTGTCTGACAAGGTGACCAGAGATGTGAATTAAGTAAGGAAGCTGGTTACAGGGATATCTGGGGGCAGGCTGTTACAGGAAAAGACAGAAAGGCATGGGATCATGCTTGGTAAGTTAGTGTTAGAGGAGCAAAAAAGAGGTTCCTGTGGCTGGGGAAAAATTCATTTACTCATTCAACAAATATTCAAGTACCCATTGAGCCAGGCACTACTATAGGCACTTAGGATAGCTTAACAAACAATAAACAAGGATTTCTGCCCTGTTGGAATTTATATTTTTCCACTCTGGGAGATGGACAATTAAAAAGAAAACAGCATATGAATAAAGCATATTGTATTCCAAAGGGTGGTAAATAATGTGGAAAAGAAAAAGAAACAAATAGGGAAGAAGCGGAACCAGGAGTGTGGGGTGAGGGTTGGAAACGAACAAATATAAGCTACCCTTGTAATTGATAGGACTCTTATTAGATGGGCGGAAATTTTCTCCTTTGTGCTGCTTTGGTCCGGTGTCCATGTAAACGCTATGCTGGCCTCACTGCCCTGAGGTCAGAACATATTTTTCCTATCTTTGGTGGGGTCTGGACTCCTTGTTTAATGTACCAGAGCAGCAGGGACACGAATATCGGAGAGCCTTTTGTCGTCAAGCGGCCGCTCATGTTTAACACCTCCTGCAGCATAGCCAACGAATTTGAACATTACTTCTCTGGGTTTGAGACCCGGCCCGGTAGAAGGCCCTGGCAGGGCAGGGCCCAGGCCGCAAGCAGAGACACTGTGCCTCGCTTTCCACGCAAGGAGATCGAAGCCGTGGAGGGGCGCACGCGGAACCATAATCCTTTCAACCGCTGCGGACTTGGACAGAACTGTGTTCCTCAGGGCGGGTCCGCGAGCCTGGCCCCGCGAGCCTGGCCCCGCCTCCCAGGACAGAGCTGATTGAGTGAAAGGGGGTCACCTGACCTAAGCTGCACCAATCGAAGTCCTCTTCCGGCTAGTTTAACTTTGAGAAGGAACCGTTAAGGAAGGCGCCGGGCGTGACCAGGGTTGGGTCTGGTGTCTGCGAAGCTCGCGAGGGAAGGTCAGGGGCTGCCGCCGCCGAGGTCTTGGATGGCTTCCGTGTTTTTCCCAACTCTTTTTCCAGTTAGGTAAGGTACAACAGTGTCGTTTTCTAGAACTTAAACCTAATAGTGGCCTAAATTACCCAGGGTCGAGGTTTAGGGGTTAATAAACAAGGCAATCCAGCTGGATTGCTCAGTGATCCATTCTCCTCTCCACCCTCTATGCATCCGTCTATCCTCACGTCTTATTCGCTTCAGTTGTACAGCCAATCATTTCATGCTCCCTCTTTAAAATCCCTCAGCCTTTCTCTTCTTAAAAAGAAATTATGTTTCTCCTTTGCATCTTAGTTTTGTTTGCGGTTAGGTTTGAATCCCAGACTTTAAATCGTAAACACTGAAATATATGTATAAAAGTATATTTCTGTTTCTGTTTCATTTCTTTTATACTTAAAAATGCTGTTCTCACCTGAAGACCAAAAAATATTCATCTACATCTTGGAGAGGACTACAGTGTCGTTTCTTACTACAGGCTCTCTAAAGAAGTTGGAATTCATTTTTAAATGGATGATGGTGATAGGAGCATTTTTCCATCTTTCTATCCATCCTTCTAACTATATTTCGGTTGGTTAAACTGTCATTAAACAGTGTCGTTTATAGAATAACCATTCCTGTAACTACTGATTTTGTCTTTTTTAATTCTTTATTTTGAAATAATTTTAGACTTACAGAAAGGTTGCAAAAGATAGTACAGAAAGTCTTCACCCAGATTTCCCTAATGTGGACCTCTTATCTAACCACAGAAAAATCATCAAAACTAGGAGGTTAACGCTGATGCAGTACTATTGACTAACCTAGATACTCTCTTTGAATTTCACCAGTTGTCTCACTAATGTCCTTTTTCTATTCCAGGATATCGCATTGCATTTGGCCATCGTTGCTCCTTAGTCTCCTCCCGGCTGACAGCTCCTCAGTCTTCCTGGGTCTTTCACAACCCTGACGCTTTTGAAGATACTGGTCAGGTACTTCACAGAATGTCAGTTTGGCTTCGTCTGATGTTTTCTTTTGATTAGATTGAAGTCAGACATTTTGGGCAAGATAACCTGTTTTATTCTTCTCCCCTTCACTCCACTAGTGATGGAGGGATTTCCAACCTAGTGTTATGGGTGTGGCTGAACACATCATACCCGACACTGGACACGTGAGATCCATAGCAGTTTATTAGTAACACTGACTCACAGCCTGTGGGAGGAGGACACTATGCACCAGGTGGAGCCTCATGGGTGCCACGCTCTGGAAGCGAGTGAAGAAGCAGGGGCTGTGGGCGGGCAGTCTTTGCAGTAACGAGAGGATGAAGTGACCCTTGGTTCCCCTGGGAGAATGTAATTGGCTTGTCTGCGTAATTCTCTGGGCTGGTGGGGAACTGAAACCTGCTACTCAGGGATGAGCAGGCACAGTGCCTAGTTCCCGTGATAAGGAAGATTCTTTGGCTAAGGAGCCTTATTCGTGCAAGCACAATAAGGAGGAGAACCTGTGGTTAGGCCATTTGAGGCCCTCTGGATTTTCCCCAGATGTTAAGGCATACATGTTATTGGGCCTTAATTTTAGGTCTTATGCCACAATACTGCAAAAGTGATTTTGCTCCCTTCTCTGTGCCTCATGTCAGGGGTATGTGATGTCCTTAGGTTGTATTACTGATGATATTCAGCTTGATCTCTTGATTAAGATGGTGGCAATTATGTTGCTCCATTGTAATGGTACTATTTTCCCATTGGTAAGTGATAAATATCATGTGGGCAATACTTTAAGACCATGAAAATACCGTGTTTCTCCTCAAACTTTTGCTCGCTACTTTTATAATCCATTACCTAATGGTGACTTTCTGTTTTCCTCATTCCTGCTACATTTATTCATTGGAGTTCTCCTGAAAAGCTGTCCTTTCTCCCTCATTCATTTATTTATAGATTTTCAAGTTATTTATAAAAATTATTTTATAAAATGTATTTCAAATTATTTGTATCAGTATTGACTCATGAATAACTATGTTTTACTATGAGTTATAATCAAGTTATATCATTACTGATTTTGTGCCTTGAATCGTTCCATCTTTGGTCATTGGGATTTCCTTTCCGTTGGTTCTGTGTTCTTTTGACGTGACCCTACCCTTTTCTTTTGTATATTTCTTTCCTTACTATAAGATGTTCATGTTCATCTGGTGTTTTTTCCCCCACCGCAGCCCTGGATTCAAACCGCTTCTGCAAGGAGCCCCAGTTCCGTTTCTTGGAGAATGACATTTTAGAAACTGATATCTCAATGTGTATTCATTGCTACTGGGGTTTCATTGCTGCTAGGCCGTGTCTATCCACAAAAGTAGGAGATATATTGTATGTGTATACACCCGTGCTTCCAGATACATCTACATTTATTTCTGTACCTACCCATCTGTACAGATATTAAAAGCCAGGAGCTCGTACTGATACTTCTGATTTCAGTCCCTTCCAGCTTTATTTGTAACTTCTTTCTCTTGCCTGGCTCTCATTATCTACAAGATTTACTTCCTGCTGTATACATAAAGTAGTTGCAGAAATGCTAACAATATCCCTGTCAGAAACAGATTTACCAACTTGTATTTGTGTACAGTTCTTTTTGTCTTTAGCCTCAAAAGATGTAATCAGAATGCAGTTTTCCCAGGTTTCTTAGCTTAGCTGTTCTTCCTCACCTCTTCAGTGTGGTTAAGATATTCGTTTGTAATATACTTAGGTTAATTTGTTGGTGTTTGAATTTGAGTTTGGGTTCTCCCCACATCCTGGTAGATTTTAATTGTTTATTTAACTAACGTTACTATGATTCAAAAAGTCAGGGCTATACTAAAACGTCTACTCAAAGAAATGTCACTCTTTCCTCATGCCTTCTGTCCCTTTCCTGTCCCCCACTTCTTTCCACTCCTTTCCCACACTCCCCCGTGGATAACCAATCCCTTTAGTTTCTAGTTTAATCTTTCCTGTATTTATTTCACACAAATGAGCAGATACATGTATTTTTTTTCTATGCCCTTGTTTGTTAAGCGAAGGATAGCATTCCATACATATCCTTGCACTTTTTCTTTTTCACTTAGCGGTGTGCCAGGAAATCACTCCTTATCATTCCATAGAGTTGCTTCATCATTCTTTTTTACAGCTGCTCTGGACTCCATTGTGTGGCTGGGTCACTCACATTCAACCACTCACCTAAGTATGGGCATTTAAGTTGTTCTCAACATTTTGCAATTACAAACAGTGCTGCAATGAGTAACCTTGGGCATAAGTATTTTTGTATTGGTGGAAATACATCTTCAAGTTATATTCCCAGTAGTGAGATTATTGGGGCAAAAGTTAAGTACGTATGTTTTTTTGTTGGGTATTTCCAAGTTTCTCTCCAGAACGGTTGCACTGGTTTTTATTCCCACCAGCAATGTGTAAGAGTGACTGTTCCCCCACAGTCTCACTAACGTGTTGCCCTGCTTTTTTAACTTTGGTCGACGTGGTAGGTGAGAAATGGTATCTCGGCATTGTTTTAATATGCGTTTGTCTGATTGTGAGAAGTTTTGACTCATCGTGTGTTTCAGGATCGTTTTATATATTTTTTTGTGAATTATCTGTCCATATCTTTTTTCTCAGTTTTCTATCGAATTTTTAGCCCTTTGCCCTTTGATATTTAAGAGTTCTGTATATATTTGGGATATTATCCATTTGTCTCTGGTGTATGCCGTAAATACTTTATCCCAGTTTGTCAGTTGTCTTTTGATTTATTTAATATGTATATTATGATGTGTTTGTCATACACAAGAAATTCTCATGTAGTCAAGTTGATCATTCTTTTCTTTCATTGCCTGTGGAATTTGAGTCACAGTTAGAAAGGCTTTCCCTACACTGAGGTTAAAGAAGAGTTCTGCCATATTTTCTTCGAGACCTTGTTACGGCTTCACTTTTTATGTTTAGATCCCTAACCCATTTGCAGTTTGTTTTTTGTGTATGGTGTGTGATATGGACCTACTTTAATTTTTTGCCAAATGTCTCCATTGTTCCAGCACCGTTTATTAAATGTCCATCTTTGCTCCAGTGCTTTTACATGCCCTTTTATCATATACTAGAATTTCCACATGTACTTGAGTGTATTTCTGGGTTTTCTGTTCTATTCCATTGGGCTACTTGTCTGTTCATGTACCAGAACCACAATGTTGTAAATTACAGAGGCTTTACAGTATGCATTAATGTCTGGTATCAGTACTCCCCTCTCAGAGGTTTTCTTTTTCCCTTATGTTCCGGCTATTCTTGCATGTTTGTTTTTTTTTTTTAATATGAACTTTATATCAACTGGTCTAACTCCATAAAAATGTTTGCTGATGTTTTTGAGATTGTATTAAATTTATGCATTAACTTAGGGAGAATTGACATTTTTGCGGGGAAGGGGGGAAGATTGGCCCTGAGCTAACATCTCTTGCCAGTCTTCCTCTTTTTTGTTTTTCTCCCCAAAGCCCCGGTACATAGTTGTATATCCTAGTTGCAAGTCATTCTAGTTCTTCTGGGTGGGATGGTGCCAGAGCATGGCCTAACGAGCGGTGCGTAGGTCCGCGCCCAGGATCCGAACTGGAGTGCGCGAACTTAACCACTCTGCCATGGGGCTGGTGCCAAGAATTGACGTTTTTTTTAATGCTGAGTTGTTCTCTCCAAGGACAGTGAATGTCTTTCCGTCTATTCAGGGTTCTTCTGTGTCCTTCAGGAGTATTTTTAAAATTTTCCTCATATAGGTGTTCTGATTAAGTTTATTCCTACGCATTTAATCTTCTTTGTTGCTATCGTCTATGGGATTTTCTCTATCAATGTGTTCTCCAAGTGGTTTCTGTGTGTGTCCAAAGACTACTGATTTTTGTATGTTAACTTTATGTCTGTTTTCCTTACTGATTTCTTTGATTCAGTTGATTTGTCATTGTTTCTATAGGGCTTTTCAGATATACTATAATATCATCTGCACAGAGAGATGGCTTTACTTTTTGTTATGCGGTCTTATAAATCTTATGGATTTCTGTAGTCAACTGACTCATACTTATAGTACAAGACTGAATAGGAACGAAATACTGGGCACACTCTCCTTGTCCCCAACCTTAGTGGAAAACCGCTAGTGGTCTCCCATTAAGTAAAATACTGGCATTAGGAATTAATGATATATCTTTTCTCGTGTTAAGAAAGCATCCTCTGATTCATATTTTGTTGAGGTTTTTCTTTTTTCCTTAACATGAATGGGTATTGAATTTTTCCAAAGGTTTGTTCAGCATCTATGGTGGTAATCATGTGATATTTGACCTTAACTCTATTACCGTGGTGAATGATATCAATGGAATTCCTAACGTAGAACCAACCTTTTATTAATGGGATAAATCTCACTTGGTCACAGTATATTAATTTCTAAATGTATTGTTGGGTGTTTGCTAATATTTTATTTAGTATTTTTGTATCTACACTTGACCGGCCAGTGTCATACTTGCTTCATAAAGGGAGTTAGGAAATTTTCCCTCCTTTTTAATACTCTTGAATAATTTATAGAGCATTGGTGGTATCCGATCTTTGATGATTTACCAGCATTCACCTGTAAAACCATCCGAGTGAGATGCGTCTTGGGGGTAATTCCTTAATAACTTACTTTATTTTTTCTATGAAAATTGGCTAATTTCAGCTTTCTAACACTAGAAGTAGAATTGTGGCCATGTGTATTTCTCCAGGAAATTATCTACTTCGTGTAGATTTTCAAATTTATTTGCATAGAGGTTTGCAAACTAATCTCTTTTATTTTCTTTTCTCTGTTTGAATGGTTATCTTTTGTCATTTATTACTTTGTGTATTTGTGATCTCTTTCTTCCTTTATCAAGCTAGCTAGTGGCTTGTCTATTTTAAAAAACAAGATTTTCATTTGTTTCTCTATCCTATATCTCCTTCATTTCTGCTTATATATTTATTATTTCTTTCCCCTGCTTTACTTCGTTCTTTTTCTTTTTCAGTTTTCTGAGGCCATACTTTAATTCATTTATTTTCCTTCTTTCATTTTTACTCATAGAAGTATTTAGTACTCTGATTTTGCCTCTGATCACCGATTTAAATGTATCCCATAGATTCTGATGTGTAGCTTTTCATTCTTTTAAAAAAATTTCTACAGCTGCAGTTTGTGTCTCCTCTTTAACTCAACATTTTTTGGCAGAGGCTTTTAAAAACTTTCCAGGTAGAAAGGCCTTTCCTTTTTCGGTCTGTGTTAGTAATGTTAACTTTTTTTGCATTGTGATTAGAGAGGATTGTTTGTGATATTTCTACTTGATGGAAATTAATGAGGTCATTTCTGTGTGACAATTATGATCGATTTTTGCCAAGAAAATGTATTCTCTAGTTTCAGAATGTCTGTGTGTGTGTGTGTGTGTGTGTGTAGTTTGCCTTATTGATTATGTTCTTTAGATTTTCTATATCCCTAGTCTTCTTTTATATCACTTAATCTGTCTTGTACCGAGATTGGTGTACTCCTACAATTCCCGTGTTTTTATCTAAATCTCCTTGCCCTTTTGCTTTAGAGAGGTGGGTGCTGTGTTATTTGGTGCGTAGATATTCCTAGGTGTTATATCTTCCTTGTGAATCTTGGCTTTTATCGTTAAGACATGTTCTTTGTCCTGTTTAATGCTTTTTTAAAAATCATCCTTAACCCCCTGTTTTCTTAACACTTTACTATGTGGTCCATTCGTTGTGTTTTTTGTCCCCAGTGTCATTTAACACTCGCCTACTGAGCTATGACAAAAATTTTATTCTGTTTTCTTCTACTCCTCTCCTTTCTCTCATTTTTAGTGGTGCAATTTATGTTTTTTTCACAACATAAAGCATTTGTACGTTAGTCTTCCTCCCTTTCCTCCACCTTGATTTTAGTATTAGGTGTAAAATGCTCACCATCAGATATTTTGGTGAAGTTTTTCTGTCATTGCATGGGGGATCACAATCCCGGTTCATCTTTCAGATTACCTAGCAAACGTTCTGTAAAGAAACAGACAGAAAATATTTTAGGTTTGTGGGCCACAGTGCCTCTGTCACAACTACTCAACTTTGCCATTGTAGTGCAAAAGCATCCATGCACAGTATGTAAATGATTGGTCACGGTTTTGTTCCAATAAAACTATATTTACAAAATCAAGGAGTGGACTAGATTTGGCACAATGGGCCACAGTTTGCAGACCACTGCTCTAGTAGATTCCTCAGGCAGGGCTGAGGCGTACAGAATTTCCTAAGTTCCTCTGTGTTGAAAAACTGTTTTTCTGTAGGCTGTGATATTTGAGGCACAGCCCAGCTGGATATAAAACCTTTACTTCAGACTTTCTTTTTAGTCCATTTCTCTTTTTAGATTTTTACAAATATTCTGATTCCAGGTAGGTTTCATATCCTCGAATGCTTGCTTGAGTATAATTAATTCTGTTTGGAGTGTTGACTTACAGTCTCCTGCTTTGTGGTTGTTAAATATGTGTGAAATTTTGCTTCCTTGTCCTTTTTTTTTTGCCATGTTTTTCTGTGGTATTCCCCTTCCTTTTGTTCGTTTGTATGAAATTGGGTTGTTTCAGGAGATTCCTAGTTTAATGATGTCATTTCCTGCCAGTATAGCAAAGTCCAGTTCTTTTATTCATTGTTTTGGGTTGTTTTGGTGATGGAGGGAGAAGTTGTGAGTGCTCTGATTTTGTGGCTCTCTTAGTCTTGCAAGATCCTTAATTTTTCCTTTTTGTTTCCTTTCCCCATCATTACCTAAATGCCGAAAGATACTTCTCCCTTCCTCTTTGCCTTTATTCTTTCCTAGAAGTTATGTCTTTCAAAGACTGCACCTTAAATCATCCCTACCCCTTTCAGTGTTCCTATTTTGGAGTCCCTTCCCTGTAGTCCCTGCTCTCATCTTCCAAGACACCTTTTTAATATTTTCAGACTTATTCCGTGCTTAGTCATTCTGCTGTAGTTTTAGATCAGCTTTAAGCCCCTCACCATCTTCCTCACTCTGCGGGTCTTGTGGCTTTTCTTGGTTTGTCTTTGCTTTGCCACAGAGCCTAGTGATGGGGATGTGACAGATTGTATGCCAGGAATTCATGATTTTTCTTTTTTTCCTCACATTTATTTTTAACTTTTGGCATTCTCTCCATTTTAAAGCAATGATGAGGGTGTGGATTTTATGTAGGTTTACATTTTCCTTCTTCTTGGTTTGTAGTCTTTGGGGAGGAAATGTTGGGAGGAAGGCAGCTAGGTGGTCAACGTTGTCTTCTGCTAGCTTACCTCTGATTTCTCATGGCATTTTATCTTACGTAAATTTATGTATGTGTGTATGTGTATGCACATATATGCTTAGGCACACACACAAGTCTATTTTTATAGTAGAGGTCATCTGAGGTGGCCGTCTGATTCACTATATATTTATTCGATAAATATTTTGTCCATTGCTAACCTTGGAGGCAAACAGATTGTAGGTGTCTTCTCGGGATTTCTAAATATTCTGCACCCCGAAGCAGGTTTACGAAGATGCACCAAAAGGCCACAGCCACACTGCTCGAGCTTGCTGCAAGGAGTCTGCTGAGTAATGAGCCTGCAGCTATCCGGGCCCTGGAAGAACTCCCAAGAGACCTCTTTGTTCCATTGTTCATTGCTGCCTTCTTGGGTGGGCATAAGAAGATACTAACGGCAATGGTGAGGGTTTGGCCCTTTCGCTGTCTCCATGTTGGGACCTTGAGTGTACGAGAGTCATACTACGAAATCGTGGAAGCCGTGATTGATGGTCTGCAGATCCCCCCTGTCCGGAGCCCTTCCTCTTGGTAAGACTATAGCTGATAGGGACATTGTGAGTCAGCAGGAGGGTATGCTGGAGCCTGGGGCAGGGGAATACCTAACAGTCTCCCGAAAGTAGCCAATGGTGAATGCTGAGGATCTCTGTGGGCCTATTGTTCCAACACTTGGGGTCACCTTAGGGACTCCAGTGTCTTACAGAGTTGATTATAGAATAGAGGTGATTGAGGATACTGTGGTTGGATTTACCTCCTGAGTAAGAAGAAGGACATGGGTATTGAGACTGTGGAGGACCAGAGGTGAAGAAAGTGTGGGAAAAAGAATAAAAGATGCTAAATTTGTGTGGAAAGAACTTCTTGGTGAATGGTATGTGGAATGACAACTGGGGATAAAGAGTTCCTTCCTGCTTCCCATCATTGAACTTGCTGGATGATATTCAAGTTGTCTACCTCTCATGTGTTCTGT